AATAAAAATTGATGTTTCAGCAGGAGAGAGCCACAGTGTATATAGGGTTATTCTTTGTTTTCAATATATTTACAGAAGAATAAGTTTTGAATGCACTCCAATACACCGGTACGTGTATTACATATCGATTGACTGTTTTAACACAGACAGTACATTGATGCAATTTGGTTTTATCAACTAAGTTGAAATTGTAAAATGACCACTGTAACAAGTTAAAAAGCTGACGTTTCGAGCGTTAGCGAAAGACGAAGGGCTAACGCTCGAACCGTCAGCTTTTTAACTCGTTACGGTGGCCAATTTACAATTCCAACCTAGTTGATGTAACCCCCACTGACGCAGCACCACAGTTTCATTAGAAACTTTCAGCCTTTAGAAATTAGTACATTGATGTACAGGTTGTTTGGGTTTTGATGTGAATTATTTAATTTTGTTTTAATTTTTGTCAGTTTTTCTTTTATCATACCCATCTTTGTCTTTCCAAATGTAACATTTTATTTTTGTGTTATATCTTGCAGCGTCCAAGTTGTCATATCTTTTTTGATAAGTTTAGATTCTGCCGATGTAAGTGTTACAATTTTATTATCTCTTGTCGTTTATGTCCTGTGATGAAGACAAATTATTTTTAAAAAAATTAGTTTAAACCTTAATATGGAAGCAAGTTTAAAATTTTGATTTCTTGTTGGCAGCATCCTGGAACCAGTTCCACAGATACTACATCTATGGGAGTATGCAAGATTGTGCGATATACTTTCAAGCCTTCAGAAGCTGTATGTCGTACACATTTACAAAGTCTCCAGAAGCAAAGGTTTGTTCTAAGAGCGACCAGCATCTAGTTTGTCCTCACAATATCTCCCTTGAATCACACTTTAAGGTCACAAGAATAAAGGAAATAATCACCAAACAGAGAAGCTCTTGATTGTTAAACAAACTCTCCTGCCAGCTAGGTAATTTGGTTCGTTCAACTAAGTTGAAGTTGTAAATTGGCCATCATAACGTGTTAAAAAGCTGACGTTTCAAGTGTTAGCCCTTTGTTTGAGTGAATATCAGCACCTTAGGAAATGTATAGAAAAACGTATGGAGAATATGCATACTGATCTTTGGGTGTAAAGGGTCAACCCTTTGACTCCCATGGGTGACCAAGGTAGAGTTTCTCCTTACATTAACGTTACAATATTGAGCAGACAAGATGAGAATAAAGAAAAATATCAATTGGGGGTAATTAGTTGATCCAATACCAAATTCTCCAAACTAACTTTATAAGAATTATCTAGCAAACAGTAAGGAGAATTAGTAATGAAATCTCCGGAATGAAAGGTTTAAGGACTGCTAAACTTGAATTAATTAAAAGGATCAGTTGTTCAAGAAAGGAATACCATTTTTCAGATCACAGACTTAATCTACCTAAGATTTAATTCAGATTGAGGCAAAAGGAAAAGAACAGTGCTGGCAATGTACAATACACAGAAAGTTTGGCAACTGAATCAAAATGCATTTCAAATTCAAAATTCATTGGCTTTGCTATGTGGGAGGAAACAGTTAACTATCTTCATCTTTAAATTTGCATGCCTGCAAGCACGACATTTCTCTGCACTAGCTGTGAGCAGTCCCTCACTAGGGAGTTTAAGAAGAAAATTGCAATGGCGATGCTGGGGATAAGTCAGTTGAGAATGAACTTGTTTTTTTTCCTGTGAATCTTGTTGTGCTCAAAAGTCATGTAGTTGGTTTCTCACTGGCAAAACTATCTTGAAGCTGCGTTAGATTTGGAAACATTGGAGGTTGTCATCGCTGTTCTCCAGATGACACAACATTTGGTCATTTCACATTTACTGTTTTGAAGAGGGCACAAAGAAATATACAAAGATTTAGAATGTGGGTGCATAGCCATTGTTCTGCTAATTAAACCTTTTGTTTTGTGATGTTGCTGTCATGGCTTTCTTAATTCCCTATAATCGTGCACAACAGGAGGTGCCTTTCTCCAACTGCAGGAAGATTTAAGACTTGTCCAGGGAAGGTTTGTTGGAAGTTGGGCAATCATTGTCAGTGTTAGACTTCTTGCCAGGTTGCATTGCTCAAGGTCCTGTAGTTTCACACCAGCAAAGAAACACTTCTAGATCTGTCAAAGCACTAATAATGACCCTGTAATGTTTGATTTTTGTAGGCAATAATGCAGGAAGCCTTGGAAATGGATGAAATTAAATTTACGTCATCTTCAGTATGGGAAAGAAGAGAGAAACCTAGTGAACATTGGAATCATGATAGAAGTTAATCACTTCTTGGTTAATGTGATCATTCAAATTGGAACTTCTGAGAAGGATCAACAAGTACAAGATCTAGAGTCAAATAAAGAGGGAAAAGTGTTTGCAGCATATTTTTTTAATAGAAGCTCCTGGTTGCAGCAAGTCTACATGCATGGAGAAAGTTCACCCTTTGCCTCTTCCTTGAAGCCACTCTGTTCGAAGCATCTATCAGTCAGAGGCAATTATTCTTAGTTTTTATTTTGGATATAAAGTGTAGTGTTTTACTAAGATTTTCAGCCTTGAGAAAAGCCACAACTGCACATGAAAAATTACAATTTTTTTGAACAAGTTTGACATTGCTACTCATTAATTAAGTCTACGTTTCTTGTCAGTAAAGGCCTGTGGTGTTTTTGTTATAAACAAAATAATATACATCTGTTTGTAGATATGGAGTCATTTAGCAAGAAATGGTTAAATTAAGGACAATCACAGACAAAAGAGGCGAATAATATCATAATGATAATAAAACATATAAATTATCGATTGATCTGCTAGACATCATGATAGTCATTATGAATATATTTTTTTAAATGTTAACCAAGTTCAACAACTTTTTCAACCTTTGTTATATTTTCTGTTTTTTTTTTTCCTTTGGACAATACATCACACTGAAACTTATAGAAAGAGATAATGGCAAGGACCTGTTTTCTTAACTTCCCTCACAGTGACTCACTAGATACATTCTTGTATTTTCTTCAAATTGTATTGTTAAGTTTATTTCTTAAATATATTTATTGGATTGTTATCCAGCCTAAAATATGTGTTACATGTGCTAAAAAAGTGATCTTATGTAATAAAAAAGGATTAGGACAATGACTGGATCTAAAATAATTTGTTGAAACCATTTAAGGTTCCTCATGAGTGCAACAAAATGTTGTGGATTGCTTGCTTTGATATGGTTTTCTTTAAGGCCAAGGTCATCTGAATGGGAAGTATCTCTCTATTAAATACAATGTCTCAAAGACAACCTAAAACAGTAATAATAATAAGAAAAAAAAAACAAAATTAGGTTAGCACCACCTCAGCTAATAACCTGGGAGATTCTAAAATCAGCCTCAGGAGCAGCAATCCAAGTTTAAGTCAAGAGAAAGAACGAAGATTTCTTTTGGGTGAAAGTTTGAAATTTTTAAAAAGGAGAAAATCTAATTAATTTCAGAGTGCACTGAACTCTAGATGAAGAGCCGCAGCAAGAGACCCTGAATTTGAGGGTATTGCATTCCAGTGTTAACCCTTTGACCCTAAGAGTAACTAACATCTAATTTCTCCCCACGATATCACCCCTGAATCACACATTAAGGTCATGAGAATAAAGGAAACGATCACCAACTAAAAGGGCTCTCCATTGTTGGACAAATTCCCCTTGTCAGTACCCCAGGAAATGCACAGGGAACAGTATGGAGAAAATGCAAACTGACGTTAGGGTGTACAGGGACCAGATAGTGCCATTATGTATTGTGTAAATTTAAAATAAAGTACCAGTAGTACAATAGTACCTCAACAGCTATCAGTGCAATTATTCCCCACTCCAGCCTGAATGAATGTTTTTCACTGAGGTGTGTTCTCAACAACTCCACCATCTCAGAACAGTGATTCAATTTCTCATTTACCACCTTTGAACAAGAAACAATATGAAACATTTATCAAGAATGTGGCCTAACACCAGGATAGAGTTTCCTTGTGTTAAATGTGTTTAATTAATTAATTAAAAACACAGACTGCTGACTTCCCAACTAAAATAACACACAGTGTCACTAAAATGGCAAATGTTATGCAGTTCCAATGACCTCTAAAAAATAAGTAGACATTATATAGTCTGGCATTATGGGCAGGGCATTATGGGCAGGGCATCATAGGCAGGGTATTATTGGCACAGTGGCCTCCTAGTTAGTGCACTTGACTCCAGATCAAGTGGTCTGGTTTGAGCCCCTGGCCAGGGACATGGTGTTGTGTTCTTGGGCAAGACACTTTTATTACTCTCAAGTGTTTAAATGTTTAAATGGGTACTGGCAAATTTAATNCGGACTTGTGGAATAATTGTTAAATAACCATATCACAGTTTACCCTTGTCCTTTTGTGAATGTCCAGGTAGACACAAGTTTTGTCATATAAGTTTTCCAGGTTTTCTCTGTCCCAGTAAAAGTCTGGGGTCATCAGAAGATCAGAGGACAAATTGATTTTGTACCTACCAAAACAAAATGAGACTGGAAGTCCATAGAGAACAGCGAATTGTGAGTGATACAGGTACACAGTGCACCTGGATCTCACTCCACACAAATACCAACCAAATACTTTGTAAAACTGGAGTTCTCTTTAGTTAAGGATTAACTTTATCACATTATGTAATTTTATTACACGACTCAGGAAGTCAGAGGGCCAATAACTAAAATCAACCAATCAAAATGCTCTATTGCTGGTCAATATTCTCTCAGTATTGGACCGGGCACTGTCCCAAATGGTCCCGAATGATACCCCACTTGTGTCCCTTTGAACTTCAGTCGCATAATAAATCTCTTATTAACCAAGCTTGCTCATGACCGTACTGGAAGAATATCGGCCCTCGGTCTTTTTTGTACGGACCAAACGCAGCAGGGTCCTTGCTGTCAAGACCTTGGGCTGATATTCTCCCAGTATGGCCCTTGCGCTTGGTTAATAAGATATACGTATTATATAATACCTTCAACTCATATGAGTGACCAAGACAGAATTTCTCCCAACAATATCAATACAATGTTGAGCACAGAAGTGATGAGAATAAAGAAAAATATCAATTATTACACTTAAGAACTGTATTACATCATAAGAACTGTATGGCAGACAGTAAGGAGAATTCCTGATGAGATCTTAGCAGTGAAAGGGTTCATATGTCATTGAAACTTAACATACATGTAGAATTGTCCATTGTCAAGTGTCTGGTAACACACTATATTATTTTCCAACAAAGTTTTGCAGTCACAAGTTGCATTTGTTACAGGGGTGTGGCAGGTTTAAATAATTCATAATTATCAACAGATGCATGATTGTCAAGATAAAAGACAAATTGATAAAATAAATTCCAGCCCCAACCAAAAGTTGCAAAATCTAATACATGCTTGGTCTACCAGGCTCACGTTTGGATTAAGTGCTGAAGGCATTCAACTGAGAATACAGCATGTTCCTATCTACAAACACTCACCATATAACTATTGCTTTTTTTGCAGACTTAAATATGTGTACTCAAAGAAATGAAAAAAAAAAAGTAATTCTCAATAACAGTACCTGAGAGATATAAGCTCTCCTGTTTTCTCTAGCACTTCTTTTCTTGACATTCTCACTTTCCTTCCTTTCCTCAAATCCTTAAAAAATATAAAAACTTAGGATAAATTGAATAAAATTCAGAAATGAAACTTATACCATAAAAATATGGTTAGCAGAATAAATGTGAATAGCTAAAAGATTGAAGTGGTATATAAATGGCAGAATGAATAGCTTGAAAACAGTGAATTCATATAAATCTTTTTGAAATATCCACTGTGGCCACTAACTGAAAAGCCTGCACCTGGGTTGGCAGTCAAAGGGTTAAGTTGGGATGAATCTAATTTGTTTGATAAAAAATTCATAAACCTCTCACCTCTGGGACCCACCGGATGGATTCCACATATTGATCTAAGACAGACTCCCAGATGGCAAGTTTAACTAGAGCATACAAACAAACAACGATCAAGTTATTAGTCTGTCCAACCAAATAATTCCCCAAACTTCAATGGCCATTTTCTTACTCTTGCTCCTACAATAATTATAGGTTATTTCCCCATACCAAAACCCCTAAATTTCAAGAAAAGGCCAGGTGTAAAACATTTCTTGAAAAATAATACAGTGTCAACTATATTATTTTGATGTCTATATTATGATGTAATGACTTTTAAAAGAATCTCAGAATGACTTTAACATCAAAAGCTTTGCAATAATCCTACACCTTGGTTTGGATGATCTTGAAATGACCAATGCTGTCATGATACTATTTGTGATAGAACTGATGGAAGCAACCCAGTCCAGCAATAGTCCAAGATTCTCAGTAATTCATCAACAATTATATAGTTTTTACGCTAACTTTTTACTGAGAAGACAAGGTGACCAACCAGTTGGTGCACTAGACTCCAGGCCACCATTTGTTCAATGGGCAGATAATGCTATCACCTGGATAAAGTTCTATATCAGGTATGGTGCAGTACGTTTTGTTAGCTCTTATTCACTGGATAGCAACTTATACCTTGTACAATCTTATCTGTTCTTTCAACAACTGAGGCCAGGTTGAGAAATTCGGGTTTGAGATTTGGCTCAGCCATTAGGTTTAGTTCTTGGCCAGGACTCTTATATTTCACGGTGCCTCTACCCATCTAGGAATAGCTGTGGGCAAACTTTCAGGGAAGCCTTAAAAATACTGGGGGGGGGGGAAAGGACCTGAGATGGACTAGCATCCCATCCAAGGGAGAGTGAGTAGCATCACTCCTAGTCACTGCTATGAAGATCAGGACTGGCTCAAGCCAGATGGGCTGCTTGAGTACAGACTTCCCTTTAGCATTATATTAAGTGGTTGCCAAAATGTGTACTCAAGCTAGTTGGAGGATAATTCTGTACAGTAACTTTCCTTACCCGACAAAGCTAAAGCATTCGAAAAAGCATATTTCTCTAAAGCCATTATGTCTTCTGTTGAATTTTCATTTAATACTATCCTTCCGCTGTGAAGAGTAGTGGAATTTCTAGAACAAAGGCAAAAAGTATATTGAGATGAAAAATAAAAGACGTAAAAAAAAAAAGAGGAAGCACAAATTCCATTTAAAGGTAGTTGAAAAAAATACTTTTACATCCACTCACTTGGAGTAGGAAAATAACAGTTGTTCATCTTCTGTGTCAGTAAGTGCCGTATCAAGGCCTCCATCTTGGAATAGCTGTGCAATCTTTTTAAAATACTGCTCCTGAAGAATGAAATCATCTTTTAAAGTATTTTTATAAGTAAATTGAAGGTACAAGTTTGAAGTAAGGATTTTGCATTTCTGGGTATGTGAATAAGCTATGAAAAATAATCCACTCAATTTCAATTTTTTTAACAAGCAGTGGTACAATTTGGTATCTTTCAGTGACAGAAGATTTGTTTATTGTGTATAATCATTTTGTTTTCTGAATTTGTCACACTCAGTAAAATCCACCTTGCCTTGTCTAACTCGTAAGTATCCTCGACTCTTGGCTGATTTATACTTTGCAGTCATTTTAGAGCACAAATATAGAAAATACTCAACCCATTACAAGGCTGTGCTCTAATGCAAATTGAATGGAGCCCAGTGCTCTGAAACTGTGAAATCCAGGGTGCTCAGTATATACTTCATATGAAAAGAATTAAAATTCCTGAGTTGCCCAAGAGCAAAAGTAAGGTGCCAGGGGCCACAAGGCACTGCTAGACCACAGCCTTGCATTACAACAAAGGTCGCCAAACATAAAATGTGATTAATGAACTTAGCCCAGACCCAACTGGAGGATAATTCATACCTCAGCACCACAAACATTCCATAACACTAAAGATCCAAGCCATCTGTCAAAGGAAAAACACCTCTTGTTTTATATAAAACACCTCTTGTTTTATTTATGCGCATTTGATCATATGTCAATGGTATTTGCATACTACAAATATTAAACTATTATTATTATTATTATTATTATTATTATTATTATTATTATACGTGCCACAACCTTACATCAGTATCTATATTCTCCATATTCTTCTCTATACATTTCCTTTGGTATTTATCAAGAGAATTCATTTAACAATCAGCTTCTTAGGTTGGTTGTTCTCAACCCTTCAACTCCCACGATCAAATTGTTAATTCTCCCCTTTGGCTGCTACAGAATTCCTTATCAATTGTTTACGAGAATTTGGTGTTCAATCAAGGTAACAACTTCTACCAGATGAGTTTGAGTATTCTCACTACCTGTTTGCTAGAGAATATAGGGATATTATAGGGAGAAGTTACATGTTAATCACTTCTGGGAGTTCAAAGGTTAATGAATGATTGTGCAGTATTACTGTGAGGAGGTCAGTCTTAACATTCTTGGAATTAACAGTTTTTTAACAACTACTATTTGATAACAAGGAGAAAAAAGGTGCCTTCTGACTTTTGTGTGTTCTCAAAGCAAATATCAACTTAAAAGTGATTAGCTAAAATCATTTTAGAATTATCAATAGTTTAAACTCAAAGGCTTAATATGACTATGCACTGTCAATAAGCTCTCTAATAATTATCAAATAAATATAAGTGCATATAAAATTCACCTAAAGAAGAACACTTCTCCACTGTTTTCACCATTTTTGTCTTTAATGCACACTCTGAGAACATTTGGTTCATCTGTCAAAATAGATAACAGCAACAAAATAACGAATATTGGTTAAAAAAATTGTGAAACCAGCAGAGCACTCATAACTTACTTTTCAATATTACTTCTCTCTGTAAATACATGCACAATAATTGGTCAGTTTTGAGGGTTGTATTTCACTATATGGCCCACTAGATTAAAAAAATTGTTTCATTTGAAATAACAAACATCTTACACCTCTTGTTTCCTCAGTCAGTTCTGTGTTAAAATAAAATAAATCCAAACAGAAAAAAATTGGTCTGTAACTTACAGTATGGTTCTTGGACTTGATGGTTAATGAGAGATATTTATTTTGTAACATACCTTCTGGTATAAATGTTGCCTGATATTTTGCCATTTTGCTCAGGTAACTATTAATTCCATGAATGTTGTATCTCTCACCAGTAACATAGGCCTGACAAATCATCCAGCCCTAAAAGGAAAGGTCCATTTCTATGAGTTTAATTTTTCATTCCAGGAAAGACCTGCTGAAATATAAAATAAATTTAGATAAAAATTATGCATAATTATTTTCAAGCTGATGTCACCACTGTTGTTGACCAAGACAAAATTTCTCCTGGAAATACCAGTACAATATCATGCAGACAAGTAATGAGAAAAAAAGAAAAAAAAATTAATATTAGTTAGAGGATTATTATTAGATCCAATATCAAATTCTCCAAACTAACACCATAAGTATTGTATTGCAGACAGTAAGAAGAATTACTAATGAGATCTGGACATTCAAAGATAGGGTTAATGTTGTCAAGAAATGTCACAATGTTCCTGAATCAACACAAAAAATTAGAGGATCTTAGGAGTTAAATGGTTACGTCAACTTATCAAATCAATCAAGATACTAGCTCACATGTTGATCTGTCTCTTTGTGCCGCGCACGCATCTTGTGCGATGGTGACTTAGTCCTTGGTCGACTTTTGTCTGTCTCTGGTGTGTCCTTCTGCGATTCTGCTCCTTTATAATGAACACTGCTTGCATGATAAAGAGAGGTTTTAAAAACCTAGAAATGAAAAAACTAAAGAATTAAGGATCAAGTTTTTCTAACAATGGAAAAGAACACTCCTCTCTCTTAATTAGAAGGCCTAATTTATTTTTTCTTTCATGCAATGCAGCCGTCAGAGCCTTCACTTCATGTTGAGAAATATGAGGATTGTCACTCAAAAGTAAAAAGTATTAGTAATAAAAAAGCTGCCAACCAAGCTTACTATAAAATCATATAGAGGCTCTCATATACGAGAACTAAGCTCATTTCACATTCACCATCAATCAGTGGAGGAAGACTGGAGGAAGACTGCGGGAAGGGTACCAAGAGAATGGGTGGCCTGGGACGAGGGAAACGATCAGTAAATGAAATGCAAATATATGAACATTTGTTGATCATTCATCAGTAATGGCTGGGAGGTGTAATCAAAGGTACTTAAGTTAAGATAGCCGGGTATGGGAGGAAGGTCAATATCTTCCCCTTGCCTGTTTGCGATCCGTGCAATCCCCTTCAACCAGGAACTCGAGGCTTCTCTTGATAACAAACCTTCCTTGATATTCCACCTTGAAAAATATCTTCTATAGTAAAAATATTTAAATCCATACCTTCAAGTTACGATTATTAAGAAAATTTGATGATTTTTTTAAAGGATTTTTCGCGCAAAAGCCAGCTAAAATAACACTCCGCCGAAGAAGTCTGTTCGCCATCTTTATTATTTTAAAGGACCGCTGACCTTAGTGCTGCCGTGATTGTTGACTTGGGTAAACTCGGGCCAAGTTTCCCCTCTGACTAGTCTGTGATATTTCCCCTCCCCTAGTCACACCCCCTGTAATGCCATAAATGGCAATCACAGTTAACATGATTCAAAAGTGAGTCCTAGTTTAAAAAAGGTATGAAAGAAAATTTAAATTATAATGCTCGGTGAAAACAAAATATCAACAATGAAAATTTTCAAGGTGACACGTTTACGCAACTTCTCATCAAAAAGACGGGTGAGTTGTCACGACCCGGTGCTCATTATATACGGACTTATGATTGGTTTATATATAAGCTCTTGAAAACTGGCCAATCATATCACATTTACGGGATGTAAGTCTTTTGGAACGTGCAATCTTTGCCCTCAGCATCGAACAGGAGAGCGAGCGAGGCTGTATGCAAAATCCTCTGAACTTTTCCAACATGGATGCCCCTTTTACCCCCGAATTGAAGGCAGAACTGAAGAAAATCGCCGAGGCTATTGTGGCTCCTGGCAAAGGTATTCTAGCAGCAGATGAAAGCACGGGCACGATGGGCAAGCGACTGGCGAACATCGGCGTTGAAAATGTCGAAGAGAACCGTCGCCTTTACCGACAGCTTCTGTTTAGTTCAGGCGCAGGCTTTAGTAACAGTATAAGTGGTGTCATTCTTTTTCACGAAACTGTTTATCAGAAAGCAGACGATGGAACGTCGTTTGTTAAGATTTTGAAGGACCACGGCATTATTCCAGGGATCAAAGTCGACAAAGGTGTTGTGCCTTTGGCTGGAACCGTTGGTGAAGGCACTACTCAGGGACTTGATGGTCTGTCCGAGAGATGTGCTCAGTACAAAAAGGATGGCTGCGACTTCGCTAAATGGCGCTGTGTACTGAAGATTGGTCCGAATCAGCCTTCCGAGCTTGCCATGAAAGAGAATGCAAATGTCCTCGCTCGCTACGCAAGCATTTGTCAGGCTAATGGGCTCGTTCCAATCGTTGAGCCTGAAGTATTGTGCGATGGTGATCATTCTTTAGAAAGATGCCAGCAAGTCACGGAAGCTGTTCTCTCAGCTACTTACAAAGCGTTGGTCGACCATCATATTTATCTGGAAGGAACGCTTTTGAAGCCTAACATGGTCACAGCTGGTAAGCGAACCCAAGATATTAGCATCCATTTTGTACAGTTTATTGCTAATTTGTTGCTGATTTTTCTGTTTCTCAATAGAGATGTTTAAATTTAATATTGGCTTTTATATTAACCACAAAGACGTCAGTTGCTTTGTTCCCTTTCTGACAATGCAAAAACCAGAAAACCTTCCTTTCGACTAGTTTGTTGACGTACAAACATTTTTTCCTTTTATTACCCCCAGTGCATTTGTGTACAATTGCAATAATCATGTACATGTCAAATAATACAAATACGATTTTTCTTCATAGTACATGTAGTTTAGTGAGTTTTGACGAAGCTGTAGAGTCACCGTTGAAATCTTGGTATATTATACGCAACTTGCGGAAAATAAAAATAAAAAAACATAATTGACGTGGCCATGGGGTAGATTTAATTTAAAAGGGGCCTTGTGATATGTGGAAGATGAGCCACGTTTGCATACCAAAACACAATAGTTTCGTTAACAAATCGCACGGCCGGATTTTTTTTTCTGCAACTTTAAGATGATTGACAAAGACATATTTCTATTTGGTCAATTAGCAGTGATGGTTGTGAAAAAAATTTTCCCTCTGGGTAGCGTTAATTTTGTTGACGGGGGTCAGGTGGAGTGCATGATACAGCATAGATCACTGTTACCTTTAAATGATATTTCACGCAATTTCTTTTCATGTTATACTGAAAGAGGCCAATTAAGTCAAGCTAGTTTTATTCAAAGATGGATCTTCAGTAAAAGGTCTCCAGATTTAAAATATTTGGGGCATTAATCGAGATAAGTCTTAAAATTTTTGAAAATGTCATCTTTCCTTTTGGGATAGAAGATTACAGGAATCGAAGATAATTAGCCCAGTATTAAAGGTTCCTGAAATGGTTATTGTAAAATGGAACTAATTGCTGTAGCAGTTGGAATTTTAATGAGGGGTATCTTTCACATGAATTATTGAGTTTTGCAAAATCTTGCTTTTGACTCATTCTACACTCCACCATTAAATTGGAGTGTACAGAATATTTAAACAATGGAGTGTTTCTGTTGAGGAACTATCGGCTGATAATTTCCCTGCAGAAATTTTTCTTAAACAAATATGTGACTGAGAAGCGGAGCTTTGAGGTCAAATATGCTAGTTTTAAGAACATCAAATTTCCAAGGGGCAACTATCAGACCGATAGTTCCGAGACATAAACACACTATTGTCTTTATTGTTCACCACTAAATTTCCTTCCTCACTTCAGTTGAAAAACAGTCAAAACCCACGAAATGCAGATCAATCAAGTATTTATTCATGTGTATAGCCTGTCACAAATGTCAATAATTCACGACCATACATTGGCCAAGTAATCCGTTATACCTGTCAGAATTGAAAAGTCACTGTTTTTCTGATCTGCCTAACTTTGCGGCTGTCAAACCATTCAAAATTTTTCACAGATGAGTACTATACATCCGAGTATTTTCTCCAGATGGGCACTATCCATGCAGGTATTTTCCACAGACAGGCACTATGGGCTGACAGTGTCTCTCCACGGATGAACACTATCGCATCTCGTGATCAATTTAAACCAATAAGAATTTGAGAAAATTTAGTGGTGAACTATAATGGTTGATAATGCAATCCAACATAACAAGATTGGTGTAGGATAGAGAAGTAACTTAGCCCTCACCTCAGACAGATTTCTAGTAGATTTTAGTTAACTGATTTTTTATCCCGCCATCATAATATTTACATGTATATCTCATGCTGTTAGAGTGCTGTTCTTTTTCATAAGTTTCTTTTTCTTTTTTTAGGCCAATCTTGTCCAGCAAAATATACTCCAGAGCAGAATGCCCAGGCTACTGTAACAGCCTTGTCCCGCACTGTACCTGCTGCAGTACCAGGTATTGTCTTCTTGTCTGGAGGACAATCTGAAGAGGAAGCATCTGTCAACCTGAATGCCATCAATCAGTATCCAGGTAAAGAGAAACGCAAGTTTTTCTGTTTTGAGTTATTTTCTGTACAGGAGGCAACAGCTCCTGTTGGTCTTAGGTGCAAACAAGGAACCTGGAGTTTTCACTCGAGTGTTCCAGAAGGGTGTTTGTTTGGACGTTTGGTTTATTTGTCTCGAGTCATCAATTTTCTTTGAGGCTCTTAAGTGTGTGTCTGAGTCCAATGTTATTGCATGTTGGGGTGTGAAAACACTGTGTGGATTCAAGGGGTAACATTTTCACAGTTTACTTAACACATGTCCTTCACATGGCAAATGTCACACACACACATGACATTTTCATACGAAACAAGTGTGAATATGGCCTAGATTTCAGCATGGCACATGCCTAAAATTATTCAGACAGATGTGTGTCTGCTTATTCATTGTTTCTGATGGATAGTCCAATGAGTTTTTTATTTTATTCATTGTTAACTTCATTTCTATGCATCTCCAAAGTGTTTTACTTTCTAATTTAAAATTAATCTAACTTTTTTGCATTTGGATATTTTTTGGAAAAAGTATTGAGATACCAGCCAATGAGACCATGTGCAAACCATTTGTCTAAGCTTGTAAAATGGAAAAAAGGCACAGCTATGAGTAATTCAATTGCTGAATTCTCATATTAAGAAAAAGCAAGTGGAAATCCAGAAATTATGTGCTCAAGACAACAGTAAATTATTTACTGGTAATTTCCTGAGTTGAAAGATGAGGAAAGAAAAGTCTTAAGCACTCTAAACAACTAAAGGTGTCTAGTTTCAATGATAAGGTTGAGATCGGACGTCAGCACTATCAGGCACCTCTGGCAGCTGCTTCAGTCCATGTAACAATCTCACCTTCCCGCCCATCCCACCCCAGGGGAGGACATTCACCACACAGTAATTTCATGCGTGGGAAATTAACATTTCCTACCCCTAACCCTACAGGAGACGGGGCCTACTTTTTTCGTCCTTATCTGAGAAGACTAGAATATCTGTCCATTTTGATATTATAGAAAGGTAGTAAATTCTCCTCAGTTATTTTAAGACCATGAGTATTGATCAGGCTGGGGCCCGAACCCTCGACCTCCTGCACAACAATCCAGTGCTCTAACCATTTGAGCTAACCGGGATGCCAAAATATCTGCAGGTACACAATATGTGGGAGTTAAAAGGTTACAAGGATTAAGATAATTCCTTCTTATCTATCATTCAGGCAAGAAGCCATGGCGCCTGACATTTTCATTCGGCCGTGCTCTTCAAGCCAGTGCCTTAAAAGCTTGGGGTGGAAAAGCAGAGCAAGTGAAAGCTGGGCAAACAGAGTTTCTGAAGCGTGCTACAGCTAATGGAATGGCTTCTAAGGGAGAGTATACCGGAAGTGCAAGTGTGGCTGGAGGAGAAAGCTTATTTGTAGCCAACCATCAGTACTAACTTAACATCCCAGTTTGGTTCTTTTCAGTGGCAAGAATAAGACGTAGGCAGGATTAGAATTAGCATGACATACTAAATTCTTGCTGTAGTGTGTAAAGCAGGCAACCAAATGTTAGGCTACTTAACTTAACAAATAATTTTCTCATGGTGAATATACTCATTTCATAATTCAGTAGTGGTAGTGATTTGCTCATAGCATGCTTCTTTCCTTAAAAGTGAACCAAGGTGAAAAAGAGGATATGATATAATGAATAAAACACAAGTGGAATACATTTTGTTGCCTTTTATTTTTCAGTGTTCCCTCAACTGATGTTAGAGTACGAGTATTCCCTGCCTTTCCACAAAGTATGTTTTGTAAGTCAAAAAAAAAAAAAGATAGTGTGTTGGTCAGAACCCATGAAGTGAGGCCCACAAAAAAATGGTTCAAACTCTCAGGCTTCATCTGTAGTCCCTAATTTTCATGCACTTCACTCCCAGTTTTCCATGGTGCTCAAACATCAATCTTTCTTTGCTCTCTTTTTTTTTTTTTTTACTTGGTGACAGACCACCAAAAAATGAGGGATGGCTTCTAGTCTACTGATATTTACCAAAATTACAAGTTTGACACTTTTTATTTCTCTGGTCAGTTTGTGACAGACTTTGGACTAACTTAACTTGCCAAGGTTTTTCCATTAAAACCTACATGGGTTCTTGGCAATTCATGGAAGAAGATGAGAAGCCTGCAAAGGAGAAAAATTATGTTCACAAGTTTTAAATTATCATGGCAGTATGCACATTTTTCTGCCCAAAGGAAGATTTGGTATGAGTGGAGTAGAGGCTTGCTGGGGGTCTGGCACTAATTATCAGCAACAGACCGCCTTGCTCAATACCTTGTACTAACCAGTGGGTGAGGAAATGTGCATGTGGAAGTGCTAAAAACGAGGCCATCTGACACGCTGATAATGCTAATGATACATCAAAGATTTTTGCTTGTGTGCATGAGGCCTAACTGCATCAACTGGGGAATATCCAAGGACTTCACCCAAGTGATATTTCCCAATTTTCAAAACTTACATCCACCAGGATAAGTCTTTGTTTAAAATTTAATACAAGATGAGTAAGGATTTTATGATTTTTACAAAAGGGAAATATTTGTTTGTTCAAAAAGTTGTACCAGAGAACACTCAGAGGAACATATCCCACAAACAGTTTGTAGACATTTTTCATGTGCATTGGAAAATATATCAAAGATAATAAACACAATAGTGTTTAATAAAATTTTTCCATGTGAAGGGAATGTGATAACAAAAGATCTACTGGCTAGAACAATATCTTGGTGTTTGTGTTCTAAACCTTTATACATTGCTTAACCATCTGTTGCAAAAGAACATGAAATTGCCCAAGTTTGTGTGGTCTGAGAATGGAAAGCCTAACAGCAAATTATATAAGTTTTCATTCACATCTACTTGAGTCCCAATGAGTTCTATGATGTAATGTTACTTTAAATGAAAAAGGTAAAGTCTGTTTACAAGCCAAGTGGCCCATCAGATTGTCACTTAACTACAGTTAAATGAAGCGACTGGGAGTATTTCTACTTCCCCTGGGATGGGATGATAGTCCATTGCAGGGTTATCCCCCAGCATTAAATTTGCCAGTACCCATTTAAAAACCTGGGTGAAGTAAAGTCAGAGTAAAGTGTCTTGCCTAAGAGCACAACACAAAGTTCCTAGCTAGGGCTCAAACGCAGACAATACTTAATGATAGCATAAATGTATTTGATAAGAAAATTTTACCCTTACTCTTTCTGTGCAGTTTCTACTGACCTGCCACTTGGGATGTTGAAATGTTTCTGAAGGTGTTCAGATATTGCTTTAGCAGAGGAATTGTTTTTATCAGCTGCTAAACTTCCTGCAGAATGAATATTAACAACTCCAGCTGGGTCGTCAGTCCCTCCAAATGTATACCTTGCACCGGCATCAACATTTACTCCAACCACCTGTACAGTAAATGTCAAGTACGGGTGAGTAAATTAGAACTTATATACATTGGAGTTGAATAAATGTCAAGCACAGGTGAGTAAATTAGGACTTATATACATTGGAGTTGAATAAATGAATCTCAGAACTCCTGGAGACAGGTGCAAAAAGTATACAATGACAAAGGTAACAAAAGCAACCAAACAGTTTATATATATGGTTTCAGGTAGTTATAAGCCAAAGCTAATAGGGAACACATTTAATAGACATACATAGGCCAGTTTTATGATGTAGCAGCAGGTCTCGTAGGGGAGAATTTGCCCATATCCTCATCAATGGGCCATTTTTCATTGCAATTACACTGAATCAGGTCAGTTTTCAAAATGGTAGCCACACATTCATAGGTTCTGTTGAATGATTAAAGATGCCGCTTTTCACAGAGAAATTACTTATTCTTTTCCAAAATTCCACATTTGCATGGATATAATCCATAATGAATCATTAATTCCAAAAATGGTCTTTTAACCATCAAATTCTTCAATGTGTTTTAGAACCTAATATCATTCACTTTCCTGCACAATCAGCCAATCCTGTTTTCTGAAATCTGCTAGCCACTGTTCATCATGACTTATTTTCATTATTCACTGGACAGGTACAATATCTCTTGTCTTTTGATCTCTCTTCCAGTTTTCTTGCAGTCTTTTCAGTTTTCAGTGAAGCTCAGATAGTTTTGGATGTACATAGTGAGGGACGCTTGTTGAGGGAGACTTGACCCAGTCCCCTCCCCATACCACCCATCAGAGTAAAAATGCTCACGCAAGAATGGGTCCTGGGTCAGTATTTCACATTTACGTTGCCTCGCAGACTACAGAGCCTTCCGAGTCTGTCAGTACCTTTAAATATGTCAAATTACGTTATAGCTCCTCAACACTCGAAAAAATTCATAAAATGCAGGGAAATTTTCGTCTTGATCTTTGATCTTTAAATCGAAATATTTCTTCGTTCAGCCCGTTAACAAGTTACTTTTAGAAGTCGATCTGACGATAATTCCTTATCTAAGTTGTCTACACCATCTAGAATATATCAGCATGCGATCAACAGATGGCAACGCATAAATAATTAGCGCTAGGGGCCTTGAAATATCTGACAGAAATGATTTGATTCCATTAGCCTGCCACGCACAAAGAGTAATCCAAAATGTTTGAACACTCACTGAATTTGGTTTTCCGAGAAGCTTTGCAATGAAGTCTGTGGTCTCCTTATGAAACTCAGCTGGAACATCCTTAACATTTGTTTTCAGATCAAAAAAAGGCATCTTGAATCAAAGAAGGTACTTAGAGGCAGACTGTCTTCATTGCGTGACACTTCAAAATGAGACACCGATATCGTAAGATACGTCATATAAAATAACTTAACTGTCCTCTGGGTTCTTAACAAAAACACTTCGCGTGATCTACACTTCCTGACATAGTTCGTCGAGATACTTCTCCAGAACAACGGTTATGACGTTCTTTCGCCCCTCTCCCCCTTCCGATATAATTGATCTCCAACGTTTCCTTGTAATCTTGCAGACCAACATCGATGGGGGTAGAGTTAGTAGAGGGAACCCTCTATTAACTCTGATGGGGCCAGGGGAGGCAGTGAGCTAAGCGTACTAGGTAATATGTCGGTAAGACAGTTGTGTTGATAATTTTAATTCAAAATCACAGGTCCAAAGTATCATAAGTGACTGGTGTGGACAGCTGACATGACGCTACGTGATATGCCATGTGTGGAACGTGCTACAGGGCATGCGAAGGTTCGGGCATTCTCTGTGTGGCCCACCATGGTAGGAAATCATAATGCGTGCAGGAAGTGGATTCTGCTCAAGATACGGGCTTGTCTTTTTAACTCTTTCATCGTGAAAATCGCGAATATTGCGATGGACTAGTCCACTTCAGTTTACCTAATCAGCGAATTTAGAGTTGAGCTCGTCAGTAATTCTCTCAACTGTCCACATTACAATTCTTGTGATATTAGTTTCCTGAATTTGGTATTGGATTAACTACTAAAATAATCCCCTGATTGATATTTTTCTTTATTCTCATCACTTGTCTGCTTGATATTATACTGATATTGTAAGGAGAAATGAGCCCCTAAAATGTTCTCATTAAGAATGAAAGTTAGACGAAAGGATGCAAACGGCCATGGACTTAGAGTGGTAGGAAGAATGAGGCAGCGTGGCAATATAAATTGCGTTGATGATTGTAATTTTAAAAAAGCGCATCTTGGAGTTGGCACCCAGTTATATCCTTATCTGTTTAAAAGATTAACATTGTCGTAGCAGATCTTTGTTAAGTGGTTATTAATGATCTTAAAATAAATAAAATCTGATCGCCGGGCTCTCATTATAATTCATAGCTTCAGAAGTGATTGACGTATAGGAAGCCGTGGGCTCTCAACTGTTTCTAAAGTAAAATGCCTTCCGAGCATAAATATTCAGCGTTATTTCAAACGGCCGACATTAACTTGGTGTCGCCCAGACAAAATTTGTGATCTCATTCAAGAGCCGAAATGACCAATCGAAAAGACATCTATGTTAAAAAGTTGGGTTTGATTCCACTCTCCGAGGAAGGAGGTTACTTTAGCGAAACTTATCGATCTCCCGAGACGATTCCAGTTGAAGGACGCGAAGGAACAGAGAGAAGCTTATTCACAACAATTTTCTACCTGATTGCGCCTGAACTGGGAGGAAAAAACTTTTTAAATAGAAACAAGAGTGACATCACCCACTTTTTTCACGATGGATGGCCAGCTAAATACATTTATATCACACAAGAGGGCAAAGTTGAAGAGTTTATCCTGGGTAAAGACATTTTAAAAGGCCACGTTCTTCAACAAAGGGTTCCAGGTGGCTGTCTTAAGGCGGCGAAAATTTTGATCGACGAGTCTAGCGAGTATGAAAAGTTTCCCGGCGAAACACCTTTCACGTTGATCTCAGAGAAGATGTCCCCCGGATTTGATTACAGAGATCGTCACGTGCCACTTGCTTCTGAAGTGAAATCTTTGCATGTGGATCTGTGGTCAGAGATAAAAGAGTACTGTGCACCCGACGAAAATAATTGATTTCTTTGATTTTGCATTAATCAACATACTTGTTATGCTGAAATCTTTTACCTCGGGTCCGGTATAACCTTAGATGACCCGAAAGCGCTCACACCCCACCTTAAGGACTCTTCACATGGCTAAAACAACCGGGATGCCTCGGTTTCCAAGTGTCCCACGATCGCCTCATTTCAGAAAATATTTGACCTGTTCAAATCGAAGAGGTGGACTGGTCTGGCAATGGTGATCTTAGTTTTTGCGTCCTTGATTTACAGTAAAGATCATTGCGGGCGAACCTGCAGAGTGAATCACGTGCAGCCCAAGCTCTCTTTTAGAACCACACAAGGAACACAATTTGCATATCGATTTATAAGGAATATAAATCGATATGCAAATTGTGTTCCTTGTGTGGTTCTCAAAGAGAGCTTGGGCTGCCTATGGGTGAATTCACCAGTTACCGTTCGTTACCGTAATCTCAGCTTGGTAACCGAGCTTAAAATACTCATCTCGATTTCCGGGCTCCTGTAAAGAGTCATAGAAAGAACGGCCGCGAAGGAGACCAGGAACATTTCGCCTGTCAGATCTTGATTTTAATTTTTTTACTTTTTTCTAGTATACTTTAGGAGTTCAGAGTGGCGAAGCTTGGGTTAGAACTTGATTTTATTTTTTCCTTTTACCAAGCCTTTATGGATGGAAGAGTAACTAAATGAAAATTTGTCTTACATTATTTTCTAGCTCTAAAATAAAATTAGCCGAATCCAGTGAGGAAAGGTATATAAATTCTAGTTGTTTCGTTTAGTAAATAGGCGTTGCCTTTGATGACAGATATATTTTAATTTACACAACTCGTAATTGACATTAATTCCTTACAATGCTTTAAAAGTATTAGCTTGTCGTGTTTTAAACCAGTTTTTTCAGAAGAATCAGTATGAGAGAGAAGTCGGTTTTTTTTTATATCTGTTCGCTTACCCGAATCTGTTAACCTGAAGTGAGAAACCTGTTTTTACGACCCGCCACAGAAGTAAGTTTCCAATCATGATTTCTTGAATTTTGCTCCGAGATTAAGACTTAATTTGTATTTTACTGATTTCCCATGATTACAAATGTAATTCTCTTAGATCGAATAATTATTAAAGCTTGGATAATATTATACGGTTTGTGGTGGTCGTCTGAGCTGACCAGTTCCGAGTAAGGAAACACTAGTTATTGTTTTTCCTTTTCCCTCACCCTTGCCTGCATAACGTAATTCATCGAATAAGCACTCACGCTCTAACAGGCGCTCTCCCCTAAATGTAGGCTCAGCCCCTCCCCAGTACAGAATGTCACAAAAGCGCCCCTCTCGAATGATTGCCCCCTCCTTCTTCACTTCCTGGAATAGTAGGGATACAAGGAAAACCAGTTTCTAGATCTACACTTTATCGACAACTTTTTAGGCTTCAATTACAGCGAAGTCGGTACAGGTAAAAAATAAAGTTTCCCGAAGTTTCGTTCAAGTTATTTCTTCCCCATGTGCTTGCAGAGTTCCTTTATGTGCAATAACAGTTCTTTGAATTTTTGTCCTATTGCTGCGCTGACTTATGAGCAGCCACTTAGGTTAAGCGCCCTACTTTGAATAAGCGCCCCCTCCTTTTAGATATGTGTCTGGGCACTTATTCGAAAAATACGGTATTCACTCAAATATATCTAATATATCGGCGCCAACAGGTGAAGCTGCCCCACCAACGATCGTTTTCGAAAAAAAAAAAAAAAACAAGGAATTTAGCAGTTACAAAATTTTGATCATCGGTCGAAGGTTATGATACTTGGGCCGTCGAACCTCCAAGCTTTGACCCTTTTACCCTCTGACCGATCAGTATGCATATTCTCCATTCTTCTCTCTATACATTTCCTATTGTGCTGGCAATGAGAATTTTTTTAACAATCAAGAGCTTCTTTAGTTGGTGACTGTTTCCTTTATTCTCGTAATCTTAGTGTGTGATTCAGAGGTGATATTATAAGGAGAAATTTAACGTTAGCCACTCTTAGGGGTTTAAGGGTTAAAAATTACGTCAAATATGTTTAAAACCTTAATCAACTTTGAACTTGTGTCAAAGGTTGGGGGCTGGGGGCGACGCAACTTCAAGGTGGGAGCGACGCAACTTCAAGGTGGGGGCGACACAATTATACTTCAGGGTGACTAAACTTGGAGCGATGTGCAAGGGGGGTGACGTCACCTGTTGCCCATAAAATACTATTCCATCTTCAATATCCAATGTGCAGATGCACTCCTATTTATTTCGCAAATAGAACCTGCATCGATCACTGGATAGTCATTTATCGTAATCATGATAACAAAACTGATTCTTTCATTGCTCACTTAAATCCATCTGAAACGCTGTAATATTAAAAGAGGGCTACAAAGGGATTGTGTAAGTGACGTGTGATTACGGTGAAAATTGATACAGGAAGCGTGAATTTTATACTAAGGTGAGCGTGGTTCGTAAATTTATGAACCAGCGTGAGGCGTGATTCGCCTCCTGAAGTATGCGTGACCCGTGAATTTTTTCTTTCATTCCGTGAAAACCCCAAGATCTTTCTGAAACCTTGCACACAAGAAGAGGGATTCAAAGTTCCCCCCTTTTATATACATGACGCGTGAATCTTTTCTAAATAATCGTGCGTGAAACGAGATAAAGGTCCCCTCTCCCCCCCGTTGCTACCCTCTAAAAGGATAATTCTTCAATCTCGGATGCAAATATAAACTTTGGTTATTAAGTGATTAATTACTAGTTAGCACTGTCTAATAAGGTGGAATGTTCAGCTTGTACAGTGGATAGTTGTACCGATTTGTAATACCAACGTTGTTTTCCTTCGTTTCGTGAAGTGGAGTACTATAGCGAGCATGCAATTTCACAGGCATTTTAGCACCATAATAGGAGTTGTCTTGGAGCACGTGATGTTGAGAAAGATCCCCATTGGTCAGCCAGATGCATGTGTAATTTGAGGGGTCGCTGACTCCAAATATCTCAAATACATTAGCGGAGTAAGTAATGTTCCTATCTCTTCCCTGATTATGGGGTTCATAATAGCTTATACCACTTGCACGATGACCAGGATTGGTTCGTTGCACGAGGTGATTTCCGTAGATGACAACATTCTTCAGACCATTATGAAGACAGGGCTTGATTTTTCTGTGAGTATACAACAGAATACCTGTGTCGTCAACGTAATTACGAGCAACCAATAGATTTTTTCCATTTCGGGCCTTAATGCCACCTGAAAGATCCGCTGGCCAGCCTCTGATGTAATTACCCACCACTTCCATCATATTAAAGCCCTTGAGGTACATCACGTGGTCTCGGTGACGGCCTATGTTGGGACTTCCGTTGAAGATATTTTTCGCCAGTCTCATCCTTTCGTCGCACTCTTCATAATAACAACTTTTAAAGAAGCCTTGATCAGCTTCCAAATTGTAGTGAGTCATAAGAAACTCTAATTTTTCTTTTCGGTCTCGCCAGTACCATACCGGCTCAACTTTGGTGGCTAACCAGCCCCCCTTACTTAAATCGAGCCCAAATATGTTTTCTCTCACGTCTACGCCAACGGTTCTGGTGAATTTCGAAGCAACTCCATACGCATTAGAATCGCGTAAAAAGATACTTCTGTACACATTGCTGCTTCCAAGGTCCACCATTTTCAACTGCTGCCTCTTGGCATTTCTCAGAGTCGGACTTCCGGATGAAAAGAATATACAGCTTTTTATGGTAATATTACTGGTGGCTGATGGTCCATGGACTTCACCGTCAAATTTCACCCGAATTCCGTCGAAGTACACATTATTGAATAAAACCGATTTCACTGGTGAAGCATTATGAATTTTAAGAGCATATGGGGTCGAAGACGTAATAACTGCTATACCGCTTTGTGTTCCATGAAGTTCCACCGGGCCAGGGATGGCGATGTCACTGCTAATTAGGTATTCACCTCGAGGGAAGAATACCTTGTTGTTTATGGAACTTGCAGCGTGATTAACAATGGCCTGAATGGCAGACGTGTCGTCCAAGGTTCCATCTCCACCAGCTGCAGTTAAGGATCCTCCAGGATGCTTCACGTTTGTCATTCCAGCTGGTACGTTCTCGGGTTCCGACGCCAAATAGTTTGGACGTAGTAGCAAAGAGTCTCCATCATCGACTTCGCTTCCTTTCTCTTTGATTACGTATTTCCGCTCTTCCTTGGGTCGCAAAGGTGTTTTGTGTGTCGTGCTTTCTTTATCCGATGCCTTTCTGGCTGAGCTTAGCCCCATCCTTAAGCAAAATAAATCAACATTGCATTAGGATTCTTGTGCGGGTTGAAATTCCCGTTATATTGGCGAAACTAGTCGCCACTTCTCTACTAGGATAAAGGAGCATACGGAAAGCGATAAAACTCGCTTATTTTTAAGCATTTCAACACATCTCCTTCTTGTCAGAACAAATACTCCCTTTCTGCTAACAACTCAATTGATTTAAAACTCAAAGAAGCTTTTTATATAGATAAGACCAAACCTGAACTTAACAAACAATTATAGCATTATAACACTTTTCTTGCGTTTTAGTTCACACCTTTGATGTTTGGTGTCACGTACGCGTTGTAATTAGTACCCGCTTTTGTATTACATCAACTGTAAATATTTTATTCATCTACTTGTATGTTATATAATTACTCACGTTCAGTTACTCATCGATTGAAGATAGGATAAGCATGTCGAAACATGTCTCTCAAAAAAGTTGTCTATTTCTTACAATATTTATCATATTTGCTACTACTACGACCTTATGGACACATCATTTCTGTTGGCACCCACCAAAGCTCGAAGATCACGCTCACAAACAAAACCACTTCTGGTCCTTTCATCGTGTCAAAATGATCGCAAAACGAACTCGTTACTTAAACTGCAAAGCGTCATTCTTGGCTTGCTTGTCACTCCACATGCAGAATTAGAACCGAAACATTCCTTGCGGTAATATATTTAGCGTTGGCATCTACAGTATCGTGTGATGTATCCGGCGTTTCCCACTGAGCTTAAGAGTGTTACACTCACAGACAAAACGTTCTTGGATCACGCACGGTTTCTGGTAAACCATGTAGCTATAACTCAAATTCGAAGAGGTGCAGATAAAATACAAATGCATGGAAAACTCGTCTTGTGGAATCAAGTAGTCAAAAAATAAAGGGTTTAGTCACTTCCATGAGAAACTGTGGTTGCGTTGGTTGAACTGGTTCGATAAAAACAGGAAGAGAAAATTCTGGGAATTCTCTCTCCCTTTCTTCCTGTATATCTGAACCCTATAAGACGCTTACTTTTATTGCGCGGACGCTGTCACTGTCCAAATAGTGAGATTTTTGAGACCAAAGTAGCCAATCTGAAAATATATCCTCCATCCCCTTGAAACAAATGCACAACTTCGCTTTACAATCTCCCTGCGTACGTTCTGTTATTCACGTTTCATCTCTCATCAATGTCTTTTACACTTAGGAAATACAAGAATTTGGGGTTATCGCAGGTCATAAATCACTCAAAACATAAATTACTCACTCATTACGTGAAAACTGTATTGAGCAAGAACACGTCACGTAAAACAGAACAAGAGTGTGATATCGCGTGACAACACGAGACAAATTATCGTCAGTGGTAACCGAGAAATCAAGAGAAAATTGTCTGAAAGAAGTAAAATAGGTTAAGTCAAACTTCAAATATTTTCATAAGTGGAGTTATAAAAGTGTTAGCAATAGGACAAAGTTGTTACTGCCAAAAGGCGAGTCTTTTCGTGGCCTCTTACAGCAGTGATTATAAACGCTCGATCGGAGGAAGAGGTTTGAACT